AGGAACCCGGTGCGCAATCGTTGAGAAAGGCCGTGGCACCCACCAGCCACACGAGCCTGTTGGCCTCGAGAACCGCTTGCCTGCGCACGCACACAGGAGGTGGGTGAGAAGGCCGGACAGGTGGTAAGTGGGGGGGTGACGGCGGTGCACCTCTGTCGGTCGTTGGTCGAGCGTTGGTAGATGCGCAGCAGCTCCATGAGGTGTCTGGCCCACTCCTGCGCGCCAAACACAAAGTGATGCTCGCGCTCCTCCTCCGTCCAGCTCTGCAGAGTGTGCGGGCGCATCGACACATGATGAGCAACACACACGACACGACACGACACGACACGACACACACACGACACACACACGACACCCGACAAACGTTGACCCATTTTTCGCGCACCTGCTGTGCCTTGGAGACGAAGAGGGAATACCCTTCGCGGCCGTTACGCGGCTTCCACGCGCGCGAGTGGAGCGCCGGCAGCAGCTCCTGCACCAGACTGCTCTCCAGCGGGAGATCCGCAGCGCCTGCGCACCCGCTCCCCATCGATCGGTGACTGCAGTCAGTCCGGCAAGACAGGCGCTGGGGAGGTGGCGGGCTCTCAAGAGTACCTTGGGTGAGGTGGTTGGTGAGGAGGCGCTGGTAGTAGTCCTTGGAGGCCACGACGAGCTCCTTGCGCGTCGCCGGCGGCGCCAGCACCCGCATCGACTGCTGGCGCGGGTCGGGCTGCTGTCGCTTTGACAGGCCGCCGGTCCCGTTCGTGACGCACTGACCGAGGGGCAAGTGGTGGTGGTCGCAAGTGGTGAGTGGTGAGGCTGACGAGTGGTAGTGAGTGCTGGATTGGGGGGGGGTACTGGGTGGAGGGAGTGGTCGGCGCCGATGCCAAGGGAGGCGAAGAGGAGGGCGTCGTCGAAGAGCTTCTCGGTGACAAAGTCGAGCCGCGTGCGGTCGGTCTTGGGGTCGATCGCGAGCAGCTTGCTCAGTGTGATCTTGGCGTGCCACTTGCCCTTCATCAGCCACTCCAGCACGCCGCCCTCGTGTGCACGCTTGTCGTCATCGCCGTCGTGGTCGTGGTCGT